AAATCCCATTGCAGGCAGACCTTCCTTCTGAGTCAATATGCACAGGAACCGACTGAGAAGCATCAACATCAAGGAATGCAATAGTTGGGTTCACACATCTGGTTGTCCACAGTTTGCTTAACATGGTTTTCTGAATGAATTACACAGGCTGAGTTTAAAAATCCTTAGCATTCCCGGTTTAAACATCAACATAACCGCATCAACCTACAATATGCTGAGCCCAAATTAATCACATCACAGTTTCGTGTGCAGTGTGGTCTTCATGGGAAGCCCTTTGGGCCTGCTCCCCCAAACTGCAGACGGAGAGACGACTTGAGGCCCGGCTGAGCAGGCTCTGCCGTTCCCCTTTCCCCACAGCCTGGAGACGGAGGCGCCTCCACGGGTCCTGGCTGCAGCCACCTTGGTGAGAGCCCTCAGCTACAAGCACCCGGAGCTCTCGGCCCACCTCCTGGTGGCCGGATGGGACCCCCAGAACGGCGGGCAGGTAGGTCCAGCGGGGGAAAGGGAGGCGTTCAAGAGCCCCGTGGAGAAGAGGCTGCTCGGTGGGGAAATATTCAGGACTTTCCCTTCAGCAAATCACCGTGCCAGGAAGCTACACCCATTGAATTTCTGCCCACTATGCCATGCTCACTTTAAAAAAGAAGCAGCAGCAACCTTAGGATAGAATTAGGGAAGTTCCATACTGCAAACTTAAACTTGTTTACGAACACCAAGAACAGGAAGGGGTTGTTTGGCTGTCTTCAGACAACATCCTTAACCTGGTTAGTTAATTAATTCATTCTCTGAAACGGCAACACCTGGATGAATTGTGCTGATCCTCCAAAGCTAAGCAGGGTCAGAGCTGATGAGTGCTCGGAGGGGGCCACCAGAATTTGAAAACCATCCTTGCAGAGGAAGGGCCAACCGTTTCCATATGGTTAGGAAGAGAATTATACGGACATCCAGGAACTGAACAGAAGAGTCTTTACTTACCTTGGGTCCCCACAACATTTTGAACTAGAAATTAACCAGACGAGCCATTAAAGATTAACGTTAATTAAGTTCCGCATACTGCATACATGTAATTTCCAGGTCTTCAGCTGCCCTGGTTAAGGGTGTTATGTGAGCGCAGCTGTTGTGTTAGCTTGGCAAAATGCCCATCGCTGCCCAGCAGCTGAAAAGGAGAAGGAGTCTCAGGTGGAGGACTGGCCGAGGGTGCTGGGAGCCTACCCTTCTGAGTGTCACCCCTTCCAGACCCCCCACCCCAAATCCTCCCAGCTGCTCCTTCCTGAGCAAGGCCAGAGTAAAAAAGGCTGCAGAGGAAGACAAAGGCGGGTCACAATCCTTTGTGCTGCGTTTACCCTACACTATTAACCTCGTTACTGAATTAACCCGTTTTCTGGGTTCACCCCATATGCTGAACCGTAGCATATGTAGAGCCGTGACACGCGTGGGGCGGAAGAGGCCACAGAGGCCATCTAGCCCAGCCCGCTGCTCAGGGTGGGAACCCACTCAATCAACCCGGACAAGAGGCCTTCAGGACCTGGCTTGAAGACCTCCAGCGAGGGGAAGACCGCCCTGTTCCAGGCAGATGCTCCCACTGCTTAAGGCTCTTACCTTCGGGCATCTCCTCCTAATAACGCTCAGCCTGAATTTGCTTTCTTTTGGGGGGTCCTTGTCCTGCTTCCGGTAGCACCAGAGAACATCCACCCCCTCTTGCATGTGGGTGTCTTCTCATATTTCCCCGTAACTATTCTATGAGGAGCTAAGTATCTCTACTTCTTGAACAGATCGTCCTAGGATTTCATGACCGTACTCTTTATCCTCCTCGTAGCTCTTGCCAAACCGCTCCAGCTTCTCCGTGTCTTTCATAAAATGTGGAGCCCAGAACTGGACACAGTACCCGAAATACAGCCTAACCAGTGGGAATATTACCTTCCATGAGGTCGTGTTTCTCTTAATACAGCCCAAGATTGTATTGGCCTTGTTCACTGCTGCATCACCTTGCTTGCTCAGCTCTAGCCGACAGCCTATTAAGGCCCCTAGATCCCTCTCACATGCACTGCCACGTAGCCAGATCTTCCCAGTCCTGTGTTGTGAATGTGATACTTCTGTTTATAGTAAAGCTAAGGAGAATTCGATGTGAGAAACCTTCAGCTCTTTCACAACATCGCCATTCTCAGGTTTATTATATTGGACAAGCCATTCATTCATTCATTCATTCATTCATTCATTCATTCATTCATTTGACTTACATGGCTGCCTAGCTATACATGACAATCCTGGTGGCTCACAACATTTCATTAAAACACAATACATATAACCAACAGAACCCAGCACCAACATCGTACATCCCAACCACAAGGATGTTGTTCCTGTTAACCAGGAACTTTTATCCAGCTTCATAATTAGGAAGGTTCCCTTTATTACCCCAAGAATAATAGTGCGCATGATAAATATATATTTGGCTACCACAATATTTCAGTTTGCTGAGTTTGCCCCACAAACTGGGATTAATCCTCCCCTTCCGTCCTAACAGGTCTACGGTACGATGGGAGGAATGTTGAACCGGCAGCCATTTGCCATTGGAGGATCAGGAAGCACCTTCATTTACGGTTATGTGGATTCTGCTTACAAATCTGGGATGGATCGGGAGGAATGTCGTCAGTTCACCAAAAACGGTACCTGTGTGGTTGTGTCCATTGTGGGTTGCTGGGGAGGAGATGAATAGAGAATGAATTGAGAACATCATGAAAGGTTGAAGGAGCAGTGGTGTGGAAGGTTAAGGCAGTCTTTCTCAACCTTGGGAAGTTTAAGATGTGTGGACTTCAAGTCCCAGAATTCCCCAGCCAGCCTTCCCAAGATTCCCCAAGTTCCCAAGGTTGAGAAAGACTGGGCTAAGGCGATGGACACAGACCAGGGAGAGCAGGTTCAGTTCCCCACCTGACACGGAGTAACTTCAAGCCGATCGTTCCCTCTCAGCCCGACCGAGCTCACAGGCTCTTGCTGTGATAAAACGGACGAAAACGTCCGTGTCCAGCGCCTGCAGCTCACAAAGGAAAAGACAGGTCATAAATCACAGGAGCATAAATTCTTGAGTCCAAACTCCTGCTCAGGGCAGGAGTCGAAGCAGCCCAGCACAGGGCTGTCCAGCCTCTGCTGGAAATGCAATAATGCAGTCTAAAAAACGAAAGCAGAATCCAGTTTGGCTTTCTAAGAAAACATGCGGGCCTCGGCCAGGCCAGGAGCCTTCCTGGAAATGAAACTGATGGGAATTGACACTTTGCCAGAATTCCAGCTTCCCCTTTTTAAAGGGGCAAGAATTTGTTTATATTTTTAGCTGAAGTCAGGCCGTGCGGTGAGTGGACAGTTCCCCCTGGAGGCGTGGTTTGAAGTGATGCCAAGTAGCTGATTGGGAAATGGTCACTTTGGGGGAAGGCCACGCCACCTTTTCTTGGATGCGATTGGTGTAGCTCTGGGCCCGGCTCCTTATTTTGGTCCAATCGGCTGCTCCGGGGCAGGTTTTAACTCTTTCTTTCCCTCCTCCAGCGATTGCCCTGGCGATGGTCCGGGACGGTTCCAGCGGGGGTGTCATTTACCTCGTCACCATCACCAAAGATGGCGTCAAGGAAGAGGTTGTTTTAGGAGATGCCATCCCCAGATTTTATGACGAATGAATGTGCCTCTCAACCTTCTCCCTCTCTCTCCGCTTTTTTAAACCATTAAAGTTGCTGAATGGAAACCACGGGCTGAATTCCTGGGTTCTCACAGCTTGACACACACGCTGTAGTGAATGCTGGCGTGCAAGACGCTGGTTCAGCAATTAAGAGGCCAAAATGTAGAAGTTGAGATAAGCAAATAGTCCTCATTCAGCAACCACTCATTCAGCGACCGTTCAAGGTTGGGGGGTTCTCACCGTGGAACCCCAAATTCTATCCAGGGCCACCCATAACTTGGTGGCTTGAGTTGCTCTGGACTCAGTTCATTCCTCGAAGAGGCGAGGTAAGGAGAAAGTGGTCTAATTTATTTATTGGATGAACTGATTGATCGATCGATGGATTGACTGACTGATGTCCTGCCTTTCTGCTCTGGAAAGGACTCAAGGCAGCTAACAAAACTGTGAAAACAAAGCAGAATATTAAAAGCTGAGAACACAGATTAAAAACAACACTAAAGCAGGCGCTGAAATCATAGAGCGTTTAAAAGCTGGGTGGAAAGATGTGTTTGGGGGGCTTTTTGAAAGGCTGGGGGGGCAAAGGCGTCTCCCCAGGAAGGCTGTTCCACAGCTGGGGAGCCACGGAGGGGAAGGGCCTCTCCCCCTGCCGAAAGAGGGGCCCTGGACAGTGGGGGCGTCTTCCCAAGGCCTCTCTGCACGTCTGAACAGCTGATGGTTCTTCCAGTAGTCAAGCCTTAAGATGGTTGGGCCCTCAAAGATTAAAAGCAGCACCTGTCATGGTGCCCAGAAGCAGATGGCAACAGCACAGACCTTTCGATGGATTTTTTGATTGATTATGTGCCATCATGTTGTTTTCAATCCTAGCGACCACACCGTTTTCTCCACGACCTTTCAGTCCAGGCATTCAATCTGACCGCGCTACTTTGCACCCATTAGCAGTCCACCTGTCCCTTTTGCACCAATTGCAACTTCAAGGGTTGCCCCGCTCAGCGCCTGGTACAGTAGTCAAGACAGGGTGTAACCAAGGCTTGAAAAACTATCGCCACATTCCACTAGCTCAGGAAGGGACGCAGGTGGGCACCGGCCTCGTGAGGCCAAGGGGAGCCTTGCCACACCTGCCCCCTCAACTCCTCGGACAGCGGAGGATCGATGCGCCCCCCAGGCTGGGAACGTGCTCTTTTCCATGGCATGACGCAGCTGCAGCCTCTCCAAGATGCTGTTGGAGTCTCAGGCTTCCCATTCAAGGTCACAACATCTGGATAACACACCTGGAGTCCCCATTCTTTTGTTTATAACAGTGGGTAGCCCACCACCCTCCAGGTATTGTTGGAGTCGAACCTCCATTATCCCCGATCTTTACAACTCCCATTGTTCTTTCTCTGGCTGAGGCTGATGCAGCTCAACAACACCTGGGTGGCCACCAGTTGTCCCCTCTGGCTTGGGAAGCTCCACAGGTGAGGAAGCACAAGGAACCCCTCATGTGAGCCCACCGGGGTCCTCCTCTTCCATGAAAGTACAACCCCAGAGTGGTCTCCGGCTCTGCTCGGCTTCTGGCCCCTGAAAGGAAAGCATGTTCTGGGGCACCAACTTTCAGGGCCGTTGATCTCTTGGTGGCCTAAGGGGGGAGCTCTATGCCCTGAAAAAATGAGGAGAAGAAAGTGGTATCAGTGGAGCACAAAGTGAGATCTACATAGAATAGGTGTGACGTACTTCTGATCAGAGGTGATCGGTGATGAACGGGCAAAGATAAGGGGAAATTAGCCCCCAAGGTAGGAGGACGGTCATTTCGATCATAGGGGAAATATTCCTTATCTTCATGAGGTGGGGCCTGTAGGAGTGGGGTCAGAAAAGTCAGTGTTGGCCACAACCTGGGATCAAGGCCTTGAGCTTTCCGAAGCACATAAAACAGAGCAGGCCTTCGATCACGGGCTTATGGCCAGCATCTTGACTCGTTTTTGTTTGGCCCTAGTGGAAAAACATGCTTTTCTTTCATTTGGAGGGGCCCTTAGGGCCACCAAATAGACGGGGCCCCAC